CATCGTATATAATGATGGATGACAATTAATATAGTGACACATGATCTGATTGTTATAATCAATTAATTGAGTGACTTAATTATAATTGTCCGGAATAAAATATTTCACGTCAAAAAGCCCTTTAATATTTAACGATACAGTGACATGCTTTTGACAATCAATTAATTGAATGATTTATTTGTAACTTTTTGAAATTTGATGACCTATTTCCAATATTATCAATAATTAACTGGTTTGAAAATTTGCAGTCTCGTAGGAGTCTAAAAAATCGTCTAAACCTAATTTGTCATTGAATTTGACAAAAAAAAAATCTCCAATACCATCTTAACTTTTGGACCAAAATAGCTTGCCTTTGAGTTGGAAAGTGTTATAATCAGTTATAAAATATATGAACAAACAGCCTAAAAATTTACACTACGATAACTGGTTACGGAAAGATAAATTATTTGGTTAAAATAATGTATAACGTGATGAGTTGATGTATGAATCGATCAAATGAAGTATAAACTTCGATAATTGTTAGGGTTTGAAAAATTATTTATTTATTGATTGTATGAGTACTGATAATTATCATGATTAGTAAATTTAATTATAAATATATTTTTTAATAACGAAAGAAAAATGTTTAAAATTAAACCTAAAATATGATTTTAGTTAAGATTAACTTTTTTTTATAAAATTAATTTTTTTGAACCCATAAACAAATCAGCATGTGTAAACGAGCTGAGTCGAGCTCGAGTATTGCTGAGCTCGACTCGACTCGAAAACTTTGAAATGAAGCTCGACTCGACTCGAAAACTCGCGAGCTTAAAATTTTCAAGCTCGACTCAAACTCGAAATCCTAAACTGAAGCTCGTGAGCAGCTCGAAAATGCTCTAAATGAAAAAAAATTCTTAAACTTAACTCGATTGAAGCCTCAAACTCAAATTCGAACATGAACCTTAAATACAAGAAATCTTACTGTATTTTTTATAAAAAAAATCAATACATAAATATTAATATTATTAATAATTTATTTCAAAAAAAATAAATTTTTAATATATTATATTTTCGAGCTGCTCACGAGCTTTTCGAGTCGAATATCAAGTAGCTCGTTTCGGCTCGTTAAGAATTCGAGTCGAGCTCGAGCTAGTCGAGTCCATTCGATCCGAGTATTTATCGAATCTTGATCGAGTCAATCTCGAATAGCTCGCGATCTGTCTCGTCTCATTTACAGCCCTAATCAAGCATGTGTTGATTTTGAGTAGAGCCAATAGTAATTTTTTTATTGTACTCTTGATTAATCTTGGTATATGTATTTGACAAGTGATTCTAAAGATTGGTCGGCATAAATGTGTATGTCAATATGGTAAGAAAAGCAATGGAAAGGGTGGTATCCAATTATAGGGTTCCATGTGTACATTTTTTACTTTTATCAAAAATTGAAAAAGTAAAGATAAAATTGAGGACCCAAACAGCCTGCTTGTAACAAGCACGCTAGTTTTTGTAAACTTTGTGTCATCATTATTATATATGCACGTGAACATCCACATGCATTTGCTTTCTTTTTTCCCCCTTTATGAGGGTCACCACACGTGCAATTTCTCATTACTGTATACATACATACTTTAGCACACTCATTTTTTTTAAACTATATGGTATATGTAACGATTGTATATAACAATAGTGTGTCATGTGCTACCCAATTAGTTGATGGCAGTTTTAGGTCCTCTATATGTTATAAAGTTGTTTTCCGGTCCACACCCACTTATTTTATAGATTTAGTCATTAATTTATTTTTTTTCTTAAAATTAAGGTCATACTTTTAATTTTTCAATTTTTAAAGTAATCATAATATTATCGGTACAAAAATATAGTTTTAGAAATGTTATTCAATATTTTAAATTTCTAAAATATTTTTAAAAATACATTTGACATCATTTAAATATCATTTATGAAATAATAACTCATATAATTAAATTTAATTGATCATAAGTTTGTTAATTGAAAACCAAAGTTGGTGGTGGACTCGTTGGCTACCCCACCAATACACACCCCTCGTGTTAATCGTCCCCATGCCATATGCCTATCTGAGCATGCGTGCTACCTACCCAAGTTTAGTTAATGCAGTTACCCTTAAGAACTCCATTCTAGTATTTTATAATCCACTCTTATTTTCAAGCTCACGAGGTTAGATAGATACACGGATGGACCCAGAGAAATGAGTAGGGATAATCGTCTCTTTGAATATTTAAAACTACAATATATGAACAAGAATCTAGGACCATGTAGTTCACCAATGAGCGGTGGGGATGGTTGTTAAAGTCTCTTACCCAACAATGTGGTAGGGTTTTTGAGAGCTCATAAAAAATGACTGATGAAAGCGGTCATTTCTCTGAAAATTTTAGATTTTAATATAATTTATACACTTTTTTATATTTTTTATTGGTAATATATTTTCGTCTCTTAAAATTTATATATTCGTCATGTAATATAAGATCTCCATCTGTCCCTCCTTAAGTCCAACGTCTCAACCATTGATATATGCAAAATATATTAAATCAAAAACGTATCCTTTATGCAAAATGGTAGATTGATGATGTCTTGCACATTCATCTAGATTTGTGTAAAGATTGACTTACTCATTTAGCCTGCTCCGATTAATAGAAATAAGAACAGAAGAACCATAATTCAACCCCTGAATAGATCTACACGTACAAACTGCAAAAGATCAGACCACATGTCGACGAACAGATCCTTCTTTCATAGGGCTTTCTTCTTATTTTATATGAAATACATATGGTGCCTCTATTTGTGTCTCTTAATAGGACAAATTATAACTTAAATTATATTAAATTAAACACAAAGACTACTAGTCATCTTATATGCCGTTGGCCCAACTTTCACAATTCTTCACAGTGTGCTCGATACATGGACTTCAACCTAGGGCCACAATCATGGTCGAGATAAGGTTTAATCATAACTAGAGAACAATATAATAATTCAAGATGAAAGAACTTTCAGTTGGACCAACGACAGTTTTGTATGAGAAACCGGTGCAATTGTGGGGCATTGGCTTATCAAAGAGTCCAAAGCCTTCCATGTGAGAAGAACATTCTTTTAAGATGGTGTCACTAGACCACAACAAAAACCTTTTCCCTAATGGCTACATGCTAGCTATTTGTATGGGAGATGGGGACCTGTTGAGTTACAGATTTTATAAACAATGCAGCCAGTTGCAGTGGAAAATCAAATCATTGAAAACGAACGAGTTTTAAGTTTCAGGGTATGCCCTACAAAAGTTAAATAAAGATTTGAGATGTAGGGGAAGGTGTCTCAGACAAGATCATAGGGTGTCTCTTTGTGTTTATGTGAGAAAGGGGAGGAAGCCCTCCTGTTTTGCTAGCAGTTCGATGACTGAATGTACAAATGCTCATAAGGATTTTCTATAAAATTATAATAAAATACCAGATGAATAAGCAAAAATTTGAATTCCACTTTTCCAGTTGACTTCACTTACATGAAATGGGATGATTATTGATCCCTAGCAGGAACTAGTACACTATTTTTCTGATTCCAAAAGTAAAAGAAAACATGCAAAGAAAATAGCAGCAAACACATTGCAGTAGTGTATCACATTGTCAGTTATCCATCAATGATCATTCTTTTTCCTTTCAAGAAGAAAGAAACAAGACACATGCAATATTTCAATGGAGTAGACATGTATATGCTTTACCGCACAAATATTTTTCCTATACCTCAAACTATAATTTTAAAATTTCTCCTAATATATGGTTATAGTAAACCAAGTTTGACACTCCTTTACTTCCTAGCTCTCGAGTCTGCTTCTATTTCCTTTTGTTAATAAATTTTTGCTCACTAAAAGATATATTCTAGAAAAAACTTGAGCAGAATCAGGATTGTACAACAAATGAAACCAACAACATTTTGTTCAATACAAAGCATTAAATCAAAGATTTATTCTATTTAAACATGGAATGCATCCAAATCCAATTATCAGTGTTAAATAAGATTTTTTTTTCTTTAACCAATTACAAGTGTTCTTTTAATCGTCCGCTTTACCAGCCTCACAGTTGTTGACACAAATGATCCCCCTTGTCATATATTTTCATCTCTTCAAACAGATATAACAACCACAGGCTCAAAAAAGAATGCATACAAATCCAATTTAGATTACACAGCAAGAACTGAAGCTTAAACTCTGTTACACACGGACTAAACTTTTAATTTTTTCAAAACTATGCATAAAGTTTTTAGTTTTTGTTTTATTTTAGGGTACATTTGTTTTGCGTAAAACATTTTTCGGAAAATATTTTCCTCATTTTTCAGTGTTGATCGGAGGAAAACTGGTTAGTCAATGTTAAATATTTTCCTGGTCAACATAATTTTCTTTGTATTTTTAAAAAAAATGACTTATGGTATGATTTTCCGTAAATTATTTTTCGAACTTTTCACTTCAAATAATAAATACTCAAAATTATTTTATTTTATATATGTAATATTAATATAATATTATAATATATTTTTATCAAAATATTATTTATTAAAATATTTAAAGTATATTTATTAATATTTTTAATAATATAATATAATATTTTTTAATATTATAATAATATAAAATATTATATTTTTATTTTAATAATTTCTAAAAGATTCATCAACTATTGAAACAAACAGACCCTTAGTATCTTACTATTAAAAACCTTAGTTTTTTATTTTATTTTAGTACTCGGTCAAAATTTAACGCTAAATTTTTAAAATTTTGAAAATTTATGTACTAAAACGAAAAAAATTTGATAGTTTATGTACTAAACGCGTTTAACGGTGAAATACTAAAATGAAATGAAAACTAAATACTATATATGATTTTAAAAAAATTAAAAATTTATATACTAAAACGAATTAAAATTAATAGTTTAAGTATTAAAGGCATAACTTACCCTATATTTAATAGATTATACCATAAAAACTGGACGGAGAGCAATAAAAAGCGTATTTTTAAGGCAGTACGATCCAAAGCGTCGTTTTACGGTTTTGTGCAACAGCGACGGATCGGTTTACGGTTGTTGTTACATTTCGTCTGAGGAACGCCACATGTTCGATAAAATGTCTCACTAATGAGACAGTTCACTCTTAGAAATATTTGAAATTTTCAGAAGCAATCATGATGCTCTCTAACCTTGTTGACGGCTTCAATGAAATTCTTAAGATTCAAAAGTTTCGACGAATTGTCTCATACACTGGATTCTATTGCTTTGTAGCTGTTTTGAGCTACGCCTATGCAAACAATACGTACGTTCAGTTGTTAGTTTTTTTAATCCTTTCTTAGCGTTTTCTTTTGGTGGGTTTTCCTTGATTTGCTGTTTGTTTTGCAGAACTAGAGCTGGGTATTCAAGGGCTGATCAATTCTATGCTTCTTATCCTGCTGGAACGGAGCTTTTAACTGACACTGCTAAGGTACCCTTCTTTTTATTCTTTTCGTTTGATTGCTTTTGTATTTTAATTTCATTTTTGGTTGATATTTGCTTGGTTTGGATAGTTATACAAAGCAGCATTAGGCAATTGCTTTGAGTCAGAGGAATGGGGCCCCATTGAGTTCTGTGTCATGGCTAAACACTTCGAGCGTCAAGGGAAATCCCCATATGCCTATCATGCGGTAAATTACACATTGCAATTATGCATGTCTCTGTGGATTCTTTTTATAATCTACTTGCGATTTCTTTTTACTTTTTGGGTTTTACTTGATAGTTGAAACCTTAATTAGAACTGGCTTTCTGTTTGTTCATTATTCAAGCATGGTTCAGTTGTTGCTTTTGGAAATTCAATTTTTTTCGATTTGATGGAAGTTTGAAACAATTGCTTCAAATCGGCTTGAGCATCGATAAGTGTGATTTTTGTAATATTTCCTGGTTTCTGCTGATCCTACTTAAGAAAATTGTGTGTTCCCCAAAATGTCATTTGCAATCTACCATTACTTTTTTTTATATGGAGTTGCAAACAGACTGCTATAAAATGACTTCTCTAAAATAAATTTCCTATGATAATTACAACATGTTGCAATTAGAATAAAATGGTCAAAAGATGAGTTCTAGAAAGTTTGCTTGCTCAGATTTCTATTATATTCATATGTTGACAGTACTAGTCAGCAGTTTGAGTTGTGTTGACTGTTGAATGGTATAACTTCTTTCATTTTGATAACCCACTCTTCCCCGCTCCAAATCCAACCTGCCATATCCATGAGATGAGTTGCTCAACCGCAGGGCACCTAGGCACTTTTCTCAGGATAGTAATTATTTGGTCATTTTCATTCTCTGTGAATGGACTGGGCTGTCATGAAAGGGAAGACTATATGATAATCCACTCATGCGTCATCCATGACCAATTAGTTGCAGAGACGTAACTTATGCAATGTGTAAAGAAAACTTGGAATCTTGATACGAATTGGATGGTTTTCTGTGCTAAATTTTCAAAGCTCAATGCTCTCTAATTCAGTTGATATTATATGGTTGCAGCAATACATGGCGCACCTCCTTTCTCATGGTCAACTAGATGGAAGTGGCTAGGTGGTAAGTTCAAGAAAGAAAAATCATTGCTACATGAGTAGAAACGCATTAGTGCCGTACACGTGAGATATGGACGTGCACTGATGCTTCTAGATTTGTAGACACCGACTTATTCTGTTCAACATAAGAACTTGTGCTTGCACCTTTAATTGCCATTGCAGTCTAATGTTCTAGAATTCGTTTAAACTCTAGAGACCATAGTTTTCAGTATTTGGCACCGAGTTTGAACTTTACTGATATATGGATGTCACTTCACTCTGTTGATTCGTCATATTGAAACAACCAGGAGAGCTCCCAAAGAATTTCGTCAATTTGCATTGATCATGCGATGCTGAACTCTCAAATAAATTTACTTCATCATGATTAAATTTATTATTTTAAATACCATACTAATCTTTTTTTTTTTTAAATTAAGGGTCCGTTTAGTTCTATAAAATATTTTCTATTTTTTGTTTTCTGTTTTTATTTTCAGAAAATAACTTTTATTTTTAGTTTTTTAAAATTTAGAAAACATGTTTGGTTAATATAAATGAAAACTTGAATCTAAAATAAAAATAATGAAAATATATTTAGTATCTATTTTTTTAAAATAGAGATGAACAAATAGTTATTAAATAATTAAATTAAAATATAATTATTAAAAAATCATTACACAAATTTAACATGTGAGTTATACAAATATAAAATAATAAAATTATTAAGAAATTTTATGACACAAATTGTTTTAATTTATAATAAAAATATAATGTCAATGCAAATCAAACATCAATTAAAAATACAAAAAAATATTATGTATGCAAGAGAACGAAAAGTAGGGTTGATTATGGACGGTTAACCGTACCATTTAGCTTAAACAGTCGGTTAACCGTACCATTTAGCCTAAACAGTCGGTTAACCATTATAACGGTTATAAGATTTTTCTAACCGTAACCTAACTATTAAGAAATGGTTAACCGCTAATAGTTAATTGTTATTAACGGTTTAGTTACAGGTTAACCTATTCCAATTATTTGTCAATTTTTTTTTTTCATAATTCATACTAAAAAAATGCAACACTTAACACATACTTACACCTGTGTAAATGAATAAAATAAACAAGTGTATCACTTAAGACATACTTACACCAGTGTAACTAAATAAAACAAAAAAGTATAGCACTTAACACATACTACACCGGTGTAAGTGAATAAAATAAAAAAGTGTAGCACTTAATACATATTTACAACAGTGTAAGTAAATAAAATAAAAAAGTGTAGCACTTAATACATACTTACACCGATGTAAGTATGTATATCTCCCAATATCTTGGTACCTAACAATAAACATATAATTATATTAGTGTAAGTATGTTTCTATATTTTCAAAGAAATAAATATTAAAAACAAAAAAATGTATATATTAAGTTATTTGTATACAAAATTTTTTAAAAATATATATAAATTATAAATAATAGAAATTTATATCAAGTTATTTATGTAAAAATATAATCAATTAGAAATATAATTATAAATTTAGTTTATTAATGGTTAACCGTTGGTTAACTATGTATCAAATTCGTAACATTAACCTTAACCGTTAACCATCATTTTCAGTGGTTCTATTAACCAAAACCGTTTAGTATTAACGGTTTGGTTAATTAACCTATTAAATATAATGATTATACCAGTTAACAGTTACGGTTAATAGTTTCGAGTTTTTTGTACACCCCTGATCAAAAGTATCATTAAAATAAAAAAAGAAAAATATGTTTAGTGATGTTTAACCCCTCAAACTTTAAAAATAATAATGTAGTGTCTCATTTTTTGCAATCAATGTAACCTTTAAACTAAGAAAAAATAATATAACCAATTGACCAATGAAATTAAATGTTGATCGTCACAATATTTACATGATAGTTCATGAAACTTACATGACAAACTATAATATTGATGTGACAGTTCATGATATTATTGTGACGATACTCGATTAACGATGATGTGGTAGATGAACTTAATTGATTTTTTGGTTAAGTTCAAGGACTTATTTGATTTTTTGGTTAAGTTCAAGGACTTACTTGATTTTTTAAAAAGTTTAAAGACTTATTTATATTTTAAAGAATAAGAAATTATTTAAATTTAAAATAGAAATAATCATTACACTACTCAGTTTATTAAATATATAAATATTTTTAAAAAATCATTTTAAGTACCATATTCAATATAAAAAAATTTAGGGACTATTGATTTTTTTTAAAGTTTAAGGGTTTTTTATACCATTAAGTCAAAAATTTGTTGTTAGAATGATTTGGATTTGTGTAAATTACGTCCTTTCGGGGACATCCGATAAAATTAGAACGATACAGAGAAAATTAGCATAGCCCCTATGCAAGGATGACAAGCACAAATCGAAAAAAGATCCAAAATTTTAAATCACTAACCAAGTGGTCTCCGTGATAAAGAAATATTGTTATTCCTGAGATCTCTAGTTCGAGCATCATAGATGTCAGGGGTTTGAGCGATCAATGTCAAAAGGTTGAGAGTTTATCTTTGAACCGATAATGCCTTGCACCCCATATTAATAAAAAATGAATTTATGTAAACTAAGTTAAAAATCTTGATCTCATGTTTTTCATATTTTTAAATTTTCAAAATACCTTTAATGAAAATACTGAAAAATAATTTTTTATGTTTTCATATTTTCACTAATTTTTTGTTCTTATTTTTCAAAAAATCATTTTCTAATTTTACAACTAAACATATTTTCTATAATATTTTATATTTTTTAAGAAAATAAAAATAACCTATATTTTCTAAAACCAAACTACTCTAAAATTTTCGCTACATCTCATTTCTATTTTTTTATTCTAAAACAAGACCCATATAATATGTATGTTTCCGTCTTCACTTGTTTAATTACCATTGCTACAATCAGATTCGTCTCCAGTTTCAACTTTGGTAGTAAATGTATCATGATCGCTTTATTATTCTTGCTCGATGCTTATCGAGCGAGTTGATTCGAGTTGAACAGTGCTCGACTCGTTCTCGTTAAAAAAATTTGTTGCTCAACTTGACTCGTTACTTGTTAAGCTCAATTCGTTGCTCGTTAAGCTCACTAAAAAATTTACCTTATTTTTTAATGAAAAATAAAATTTACTAATACTATATGAGGATTTTAGGGTTGTTTTTTTGTATTAAAATAATATTATTAATTAATAATATTTTATTATTTATTAAAAATAATAGATTAGTTAACTTATTATTATTTATTATTTATTAATAAATAATTATTATTATTTAGATTTATTTTTTGAATGAAATAATTTTGAAGTAATTACTAAAAATATACTTTAAAAAATTAACGAGCTTCTCGCGAACTTATCAAGTCGAGTTAGATTTTGCTCGGCTCGGCTCATTAAGGTCTCGAGTCGAGTTCTAGTCGAACCAACTCGAGTCGAACGTTTACCGAGTTTTGACTGAGTCAAGTTTGAGCTGCTCAACTCGTTAAGCACCCCTACTCCTCATTATCCTCAATTGCAAAAATAAACCTTAATCCATAAATCATAAACCTTAAACCTTATAATTTATATGTAAACCCTAAATTTGATACCATACAACACTAAAACTTCCTTAGAACCCCCTCAAATAAACAATAGATTAGTCAATTACCCAGAACCCATAATTTAATATTCATCAATCCTTGCAAACTCCACAATAAGGTTTCACACATCAACTTAAATTTAAAAACTCATTTATCGTAAGCCCCTGAACCCAGCTTAAGAGTTACAACTAAATCAGGATGACCACATAAATCATAAAAATGATCTATGAAAAAAATTTGTTTAAAAAATCATTTTAAAAATATTTATCAAATATATTATCAGAAATAAGCACATGCCACATTCGAATGAGATTGAAAACAAATATTAAACCTCATACAGTAAACAAGCGATACTACACCTCCAATAGCCAAATTGGTCCCATAACTGAATAATCTGAAAAGTTAAGACAAAAACAGAGTGAGCTACAAAGCTCAATGTGTCTGTAACACCCCTAACTCGTACCCGACCCGGATACGAATATGAGGTGTCACATTTGACTTTTCAAACTTTGACTCTTAGAGAAAATCATAGAAATTTGAAACTTTCATTAAAATAAAAGTTGTTAACTTACACAAGTTCGATCCAAATAATACAAAATCGATTAGAGCATTCATAATTCACAAATGGTTTACATGCCAACACACTAAATACAACAAAATACATACTTTGTCAATTACTTCTGATCTGGTCTTCTAGTAAGGTATGATGTCCTTGCAACTCCTAATTCCGATCTTCTTGTTTCTTGGTACCTACGTGTAAACTACTTATACGCTAAGTTACAGACTTAGTGAGGCATAAAATAAACATATAACAATAAAATCATGAACATTCATTACTATCAATCCATTATGACATTACAATGTACATGTATCTACTAACTATGACATATATAATTATGGTATGCACAAATGAACTTTAACTTCTTATAAGAGTTTTCATTCAATTTTTCTTTAAATGCCCATGTATATTATGGAGAACAGGAGGTATGTGAGTACACTGAGGTTGTGCACAATGCTGTCTCTACAGCTCGGATAAATTCCCACTTGGGGCACTGAATATTTGTCCTGAAGGACCACTGATAATCCCTCGACTCTTGGCATGCCAATTATACCTACAACTATCATATTATATAACATGGGCTATGTATACATTTCACATTTTCATATCCCCTTTATCACTTTTCATATACACATTATTCACCTCACATGCACACATATAATCACTTGCTTATCACAAATACTTGAATTCATTCTTTTGTAATCACATACATTACATGTTAGATTATATCCAAACATGTATGATTCATGCACCTACTTAGTATAATCATAAATATAAGAAATAAACTTATCATAAGTTTTATTTCCATAAAATCATATCTATATTAACTATGGTATGCACTCACCTTAGCCTCACTTGATTCTAGTACTTTATCTCTGTCTCGACCCTTTTCTAATTCTTTGATTTCTCTAAAACAGGGTTACATTTAGTATCTACATAATTATACATAGATCCATATCAGTATTCTAATTTATATACTCTAATCCTTCGTTTTCTTAAACTAAAGGAAAAGCTACTTTCATTTCTTATTTAAAGTAGGTATCGGTACCCTCTATAGGGTATCAGTACATCCCATAACTGAGGTATCGGTACACTACCTAGGTATCGATACCCAAATTACATTCGAAATTTTTTCGTTTTAAGGGGTATTGATACCATCCTTAAGGTATCGGTACCCTTTGAATATCTTCTTGAATTTTACACTTGAGGTATTGGTACCTGTTGAATGAGTACCGATACCCCTAGCCCAGAAAATCACATTTTAAGCACGAAAATTCCTTCATTTTAGCTCAAACTCTTCATATTTCATCCCTTCACATATTCCTAACTCACCTACTCATATTTAAACTCATTTCTACTCATTAATCACCTCTTTAACCTCAAAATCCTATCATCCATATGTAATTCAAAAATTACACCAACTTTGCAACATGTTCTAATTCTAATTCTAACACTTCATACGTCTTAATTAGATTGATGACAAGTCAAATTTAACTTCCAATTCTAGTTATGAACTATATTCCAAGATTTCATTCAAGAATTCCTAATCTTTAATATCTCCTAACTCCATTATCCTTTGATTTTAAGATAACTTAAGCTTTCCTTAAGCTTAATTATCATCTAATGATTATAAACCAACCTTAAATTCAGCAAGAAATCAACTAACCATGAGCTCACCTTTGTTTTGGGGCCTTCACGCACAAAGAAGAAAGGAGAAGAAGAGAACTCTGGAAACTATAACTTTTCCTCTTCTTCACCTCCACGTGTACTTAATATAGGCCTATTAAATATTTTAATTATTTCCTTGCCAATTACTATTTTGTCCTTCAATTCATTCTTCTTTATAATTTGATCCTACACAAAATTTCCCATATAAGTCCTTAAACTATTCAATTATTATACTTTAGTCACCAAATTCTGAAGTTTAACAATTTACTAACCCGGTATTGAGGATGGTACAAATATCTCCCTTAAGAAAATTCGTCCTCGAATTTTCACTGGGCAAATAGATGGGGGTACTGATTCCTCATATCTTCTTCACGCTCCCAAGTTGCTTCCTCTATCTTGTGATTCCTCCACAAAACTTTGACCAATGGAATAGTCTTGTTCCTTAGTTGCTTAACCTCGTGAGCTAAAATTTAGACCAGTTCTTCCTTATAAGTTAAGTCCGGTTGAACCTCGATTTCTTCTGGCGTCACTATATAGGAGGGATCAGATCTATACTTCCGAAGCATTGAGACATGAAAGACATCGTGTATCTTTTCCATTTCAGGTGGGAAAGCTAATTGATACGCCATTGGTCCCACTTTCTTAACGATCTCATAGGGTCCGATGAACCTGGAACTAAGCTTTCCCTTACGTCCAAACCTCAAAACCTTCTTCCAAGGAGATTCTTTTATAACACTTTGTCTCCAATTTGATATTCTATCTCCTTCCTCTTTAGATCCACATATGATTTCTGTCTACCAGCTGCTGCTTTGAGATTACTCTGAATCACTTGGACCTTTTCTTCCACTTCCTGAATCAACTCAATACTGAGAACTTCTCTATCTTTAAGCTCGTACTAATTCAAGGGCGTACGATATCTCCTTCCACAAAGAGCTTTATAGGGCGCCATTCCGATTCTCTATTGGTAACTATTGTTGTAAGCGAACTCGACAAGTGGTAAATATCTTTCGCATGATCCTTTAAACTCAATAACACAAACTCTCAACATATCCTCCAGGATTTGGATAGTTCACTCAGACTGTCCATCTGTCTGAGGATGAAATATTGTACTGAAATTTAGTCGAGTGTCTAACGCTCTATGCAAGGTCTTCTAGAATCTCGAAGTAAATCGAGGGTCTCGATCAGAAACTATGGAAATATGAACTCCATTCAATCTAATAATCTCTCTAATATATAACTCAACATATTTATCCATGGAGAAATCAGTTCGCACTGGAATGAAATGAGCTAACTTAGTCAATCTGTCTACAATCACCCAGATTGAATCTCTTTTATTCAGAGTTAAAAGTAACCCCATCACAAAATCTATCGTTACATTCTCCCATTTCCATTGAGGAATAGACATTGGTTGCAACAGTCCTGACGGAACCTGATGCTCATCTTTGACTTGCTGACAAGTCAAACACTTTGATACGAATTTTGTAATGTCCCTCTTCATTCCAGGCCACCAATATCGACTCTTGAGATCCATATACATTTTCTTTCCTCCAGGATGTATCGTCAATAGACTACAGTGAGCTTCCGTTAACAAATCCTTCTTCA